AACTTATTATTTATTATTGCATTAAGAGATGGCTTTAATTGAGTATTAGATCCACAGATAATAGCAGTCATTCAGATGTTTGTGTTTAAAATTGAATGAAGTCTTGTTTGACGATTGGATGTCAACAAACAATTTGAAAGAAGGAACAAAACCACAACAAAACTTATAATTTATTCATCAAATGTTTTCGCAAATTATTTTTCTAGAATTTTAAAGAATTGCGGAAAAGTGACGGAAGAAGGAGGGAGGGATGGGTGGGAATGAATGAATGAATACTGGTATATTCAATAATCAATTCACAAACGAATACTACATAACAGAAACACAGGAAAAATGTTAGTTATAAACAAATTGAACACTTCTTATAAAATAAGTAAATTTATTTGAATAACAAATTGTTTATTTATATTTTATTGCAATCCCAATAAATAAAATGTAATTAGAAAAACCAGTTTAAAGTGATTATAAATTTGTTAAAAACTAATGACAAAAAAGTTGTTATAAATAAAACATTCAAAAAAGTTTTCAATTTTATAGAGCACTTCAATACAGTTATAATATAATAATTATTAATACTCTTTAAAAATTCGGAAAACGTTTTAAAAATAATGCAAAAACTGATATAAAAACGTATTAAATATCAAAATCTTCAAACATGTCGTCGATGTCAAAGTTGACGCCTTGGAAGAGCTGGTTATAGCATTTGGACATAGGATTACTGAAGTGACTGTACGGCTGTGTGAGTGGCAGTTGTGTGAGACATAGCCAACAGAAGCATGTGTTGCACCGCCAGCACGACATCTTATTGCAACCGTCGCTCTTCTCAATGCTCGCCCGACAGTGAGGACACCGTTTCGACATATCCTCCATCCACTTATCAGTGGCCGCCTCTTCCAGAGCCGACGCGATCTGTTTTTTGCCATAAACTTTCTCGATCTCTAACTTCTCTTCAGCTATTTTATGGTCAAATCAAAGCCAATTAATTCACAATTACATGACATTACGTGATATGAAACAAAACAAGTGGTCTACACATACCGGTGGCGTACGTGTACTTCTCGAGTATGAGTTTCCTTTGCTGGGCGTCTCTGAATATACTGCACGGATCGAAGCCATGATATGTGAAGTTACAGTTCTTGCAGAAGGCGTAACCGCAGGCCGAACAGTGGGCTAACGACGAGTCCGGGTCGCCGATCACAACAGTGCCGCACGTCTTTCGGGGGCAGTAATACACGTCAGACATCGTCCCAATCAATGTCTCTAACATTATTTTGTCGTATTTCTTGAATAGTTCTTCGGAGACGAGATCGCGGATCACATTAGGCGGCGCTGTTGTCTGGCACTCGGTTTCCGGGCATTTTAATTGATTCACTGTTCCCTCATTGATAAGAGTCGTGAAATAGTTTGCGATACAATTCTTGCAGTTTATGTGAAGACAGGGAAAGACAACACAATCTTCGCCCAAATGTGGCGAAAAACAGATATTACACGTAATGTAACTCTTATTGAATGTCTCTTTGCGTTTGTGTTCGTTGTAATCAATTAAATATGTGATCAATTGTCTACCCATTAGATCACAGACAGCCCTTCTATCATGGGTTCCGATGCCTTTGTCTAGACTGGGTTTAAAGACAACGGTTCGTCTGTCTCTGTTAGAAACGGATGCTTTGGACAGAGTTGTGGTCAACACTTTTGTTTCATTGCATTTTAAATTGGATTCACTTTTAGTGATCATTTTGGGCATAACATTACTAAGATAAGTGATGTTCAGTCGAGTGGTCTTTAAGTAATCCATGACATCGTTTTGTAAGAATGAAAACCACGTAAAAAGGATTTCCATTTTCGACTCTTTCCACAAACTCTCCAATTTATAGCAAATAATTTCTATAGAAATAAGACATTTATTTATTATTTGTATTAAAACTAATGAAACCTATAGTAAAACAAACCTAATTTCATGATATCCATCCATTTGCAAGAAATCAAAAACTTTGGATTTGATTTCAAAGGATACTCTTTTGGTAATTCAAAATACAACTCAATGGGAGGCA